CAGGCTTCCAGGCTTCCCCTTCTGGAAGAAATAATGATATTGGAGAAACGGTGGACCAAGTCTATTAGCGCAGATTACGTCAAAAATGAAACAGTGATAGTCAGACCGAGGACTTTCCATCCTATCTTCGTATTCGTATAAGATAGTCAGTACCTACTATCTTGACGTTAATTGAATGTGTCGATCTTAAAAACTAGCGCGGAAAAATAGATATCAAAGGGACATGCTAACTAACAAGCCCCTCCTTTACCATTTTACGACTAGGTAGTCGCTTTTATCATACATTTTAGACTAGACTTTTTGTAGATTATTCCAAGATCTGACTAACCAATGGACACAAGAGTGTGCGTACCATCCGGAAGCATGGATACCTTCCGTGAATGCTGATTAAAACTAATTGATTATATATTTTTCAGAATTGCGCTATCCAGCTTCTCTTACAACGATTCCTTCCGCGTATGTATTTATACCCTTCCGCGCCCTCGACTAGCCTTTTCCTCTTTCGCAACAATACACACAGGTCGGCCGCCAGCCATCCAGGCATCCCCTTGCTCGTTGACAAACGCGACCTGGACTCAAGTGCTCTGGAAACAGACTCAAAGACGTCATTATTTCCTTGGAGGGGGTGTTCCTCGTGCCACTCAGCCTGTCATATGACCGTAGAGCTATCGAAATCTAGAATGCAAAATCGATAAATCAAGAACTAAAAAAAAGGCGTCAAGTAGGTTGACTCGTAGGAAAAATTCTGTAATGTCTTACATCAAATTCCAATCCACACCGCGGCAAACATTGTTAGCTCACTGATGTTCACTAACAATTATCATTACTACCAGCCGCGGTGATAGCTATACAGGGTGGTGTTCATTTGAAAACTTCTCACGACGGATTTATCGAAAACCGCTGATTAAAAGACAAAGCGCCGAGACATGTCAAAAGATTTGTCTTTAACCAAAAACTACTTCACACCATCTTAGCCTCTGCCTTCTTATAAATTTTAAAAGACAAGGGGTATCAAGTAATAGCTTGTTTGAAATGTCTTTCAAAGTCTTTCATTTTCACTTTGATTTTTTCAAATCTGTCGACACGTTTTCAAGAAAATTAGAAAATTTATTATTTAGGTTAATTTGTTCAGATAGAAAACATAACACACTGTATACTTCAATAAGTGTTTAAAATGCTGCCCGTTAGGGTTTGCCAATATACAAATTAGGATAAATAAAGATTTTTTCTAATTTTCTTGAAATCGAATCGACCGATTTTGAAAAACCAAACGTCAAAATAAAGGACTTCGAAAGGCCTTTGAAACAAGCTATCACTCTTTTGAAATTTTGAAATGGATGACCCTGGGGGCAGATGGTGAAGGGGGGTGAAGTAGTTTTTGGGTAAGAAGTTGTCCCCCTTGACAAATCTATAAACGTGTTTTGTGTTACAGAATCGCAGCCTCGCCAGCAGCAGTGGCTAGTTCGTGACATGTTTATCTTGTATCTTCGATGTTTTGATAGTTGCGTAGAATTACCGGGATCAGAGAAAAAAACAGGAACCTTTTTAATTTGTTTGTTCTATGTCCGTTGGCAGTTACTTAGTCTCAGGACTATCTTGCAGCACTAGAGGTTGAAGGTTCCTGTAATGACCACGAATAAAACCAATGCATAGTGGCTCAAAAGTCGTGGTAAAGATTATGATATCCATTTGTCAAAAGTCACATGTCATGTCATTGTTCTCGAATTTGAGTTTTGTAGTTTTTGAAAATGGTATTTAGTATGGTTTCTCCAAAAACCATTATGACGGATCCAATATGGCGGACATATATGCAAAAAGTGTTTTAATTACGCTCCATTCAGACCTTTAGGGGGAAGTCCCTAGTGGCGAACACCTGAGGTTTTCAGAAAATACAACAAAAACTACTTCGAAAAATGTAACTTTATTATGAATCAGTAAAGACAACAAATTATAAAACCAAAATAAATCAACAAAAATACAACATTTGCATAAACGTAATTAGGAACCTCATTTAAGTTATGATAAAGAAAGGTGTAATCTTTTCGTTTGGCTCCTAGTACTGGACGGATTTAACCCTCCAGGGGTCGCGCGGCCTCAAACAACGTCATCGGTCGCGTGTATAGACGTTATCTAACATAAGGCGCGCAATTAGATTTTTTCTAAAAAGTTATTTTTCTATATTTTTGGAATAAAAGCAATATTTTTTAAATGGTATTATATATATATATTTTATTAAAAACAGAGAAAATAAGAATCTAACTATAGAATTAACTTTTATGTGTTATGATAAACAGAGGAAATAAGAATCTAATTCTCTTCTCCAACATCATTACATTCTTTACAAATAAAAATAGTTGATAAGGTATGCTCTTTACAGATAGGTGTTTGACAGCGGTCACACTTATGTTGTGTAAATCTATTTTTGGCAATATCCGCACCTTGGTTTCTGCTCTGGATTCTGTGGGGGTGTATTTTTCTTTTGAATGCCAGTAATCGATCGAATTTTTTGTCCAAGAGGAAAAGAAATATTTGTAAGGGGAGCTCGTTTCATCATGTGTGGTCTTATAAGCTCTTTTGCCAAAGATGTAATGAATGCGCGTCTTGGTATAGTTTTTCCATGGTGTGCCATCCTTTCCAGTGAAATGCGGTATTTTCTTCAAAGCAGATAGAGATAAAGGTAAACAAATATCCTCGTCATCAGAGTCCGAGGATTGCTCCGTATTAGTATCATGCAAACTGTGTTCAGAGGCAGCGTCATTTATATAACTCAGACCCTACATCTGATTCAACTTCTTCGTACCATTGCTGCCATTTGGCTTCTGTTCTTGGTGAAATCATATCTGGAAAGACCAATAATAAGTCTAATTATTGACAAAATTTGACCTGCCGTATATTTATTTACAAGACAAAATAAAATCTAACCAAGAATATGATAAAAATTATGTCAAGGAATTCATAGAAAACGAGAAAACATGACAGACATATCAAAATCATAATCATTCTTTATTACCAGTAAAATCAAAAAGTTTGACAAAGCAACGCCACAAAAAAAATGAACTTTGAGCCCTTAGCAATATTTAAAATTATCCTTTTGTATTAGTTACGCGACAGTTCAACTTACCAAGATTATCGAAAAAATCACATACGGGATAGGTCGCACCGTAAGATTCTTGCTAACACTTTTGAACAACGTGATCGGTCGCGCGTTAGATATATACTAAAATTATCAAATTCAAGATGACTATTTACTTTATTTGCACGCGAATTATGCATAGATGTTGCCTAGCGACACCAATGAGGCATTCCAGGAGTCTCAAGGCTATAATACTAATTTTTAATAAGAACTCTGTAGTGAATTATATTTTGTTAGATTTTTCTAACACCGAGACTGATGGAGGGTTAACTTCTTCCAAGCACCCGAGATCATTAAGTCATCGTGCATAGATCGCATATACAGGGTGACTTTGAAGTTGAGTCATTAATTTTCAGATAATGATTGTAGAAGGAAGATAAACCAAAATATGTGTGTAAAAATAAAAAAAAAAATTAAAAAAAATTTTTTACCTTGTTTATAAAGTATCCTCCCGACAAGTATTTCAGTGCGGACCTGTATTTGATCGTGAGGTCCCCTGTGAGGTCTTAAGTCACCTGATTCACGAGCCCGTTGTACTACATTAACAAAGGCACGAGGGGTTGGTTGCACTCGATTGGGAAACCGATCCGCATAAACATGTGCCATTTTTTATTTCGTTTGAGCCACGCAACAGATACCACTATTCACTGACACTGACTGTATACAAATGAATGAAATAATTGTAAAAAACATCGTTCGAAATTCTTTCGCTTTTTTGTTTGCGATGCGATGAACCGATACGGCGGATTATATCCGTTGTCGCCAAACACGACCACATAATATTATTATTGAGACAGGGCGGTACTCAAACTTCCAAAGGGCTATAACTTTGTTACTTTAATTTTACCAGGAAAATGGTAAAGGAAAAAAACATTTCTTTTGATCAGATCTACTCACTGTTAAAATAAATGACTCAACTTCGAAGTTGGCATCTCCACGTTCAGGAATGTCTGCACATGCTTCGTGAGCCCAGCCTTGGCAGCTGGAGCATGGTATCCAGTCTTCGTCGTGGTCCTCTAAGCACACTACGCAGGTAGTTTTTTCTGCCTCAGATGTTTCAGATAATGGTTCCATTTTCTTAGTTTTATCACCACTTTTTTCTTTAGCTTTCACACCTTTGGTTTGTTTACCCTTCTCTCCTATGGCTCTTTTGACTTTATTTACCATTTCCTCATTTTTTTTCAACAGCTATTTTGTAGGGAGATTATGTTAGAATTCCACTTTTTCACATTTTCTGTTCCGAGTCACTGACCTTTTGATCACAGTATCTGGCAATCGCGATAATTTATAGATGATCTGGACAACATTTGGATCAAAGCATGTGGACGGCTCGGGACTACTAGTTGTTGTTTCATTGGTAGATTCTCCAGGAGGGTCTGTCGATTCTTTTAAGTCTAAATGGTTTGAGAGTTCTGCATCGGAGGGCATAGATGAGCTATTAACCAGGGAAGTCACATAAGCTTCTCTGCCCCAACTTGTATAAGGAAGTTCCTGTCTTTTCTAGTGGAATATTGGTCATATTTGCAGCCAAATAATCCAGGTCAGAAAATACATGTCTATCAAATGGATAAATTCCTGTGCATTTAAAGCCAGACACCGCAATATCGAGCCGAGCTACTTTGGTGAACGCTTCATTGATCAGACCAGTAATATCTTAAGCTAACTTCAAAAATTCCTTTATCATCAGCGGCAGGCATTTATTGGATAAGTCCTTTACGTGGTCCACTACAATTTGTTCGTACTCTGGCGAAAAGATACTAGTGAATCTACACATCTTTGGTTGAAACGCCACTTCTACTCCACGACTCAATACCCATATTTTATCATGTGAAGTGCTCTTTAGGATATTCTAACGCGACGAAGCTTCTCTCAAACTCATTTCTTTGGACAAAACCTTATCTATCGCAGCTTTTACACTTTGTTGGTCCAATTTTCCTCTCTTTTTGGTCCCTTCCATTGCGCTGTATCTCTGAACTTCTATCCTCCAAAACCACATACAACAATTATTATGAGTGTATAGACGATTAGTACAAAAAACTATTTGTCAACTGTCCGAATCACGTGTTGCATACTAAAATTGCTTAAGGAATTAAAAAAAACTTTCACAGTCTACGAATTATATTGGAGCATTATCTTGATTGGAAATTAACATAAACACTTAAACATAAAATTATAGCAGTAATACTCACTTGTAGTTTTTAAAAATCGGTCCAGTGGTGGCGGAGGAAAATCGGTCCAAGCCAATAACGAAGAAAGTAAAATAGAGTGACTGACGCCGCATGCGATCAGGTTTCGGGAGGGGAGACGTTACTAGATCGACGGACCAGTGGTAGGGCAGCGAGAGAATGTCGATATACTAATTGTATGGTCCTGTTTGATTGACTCAATCCGTTTAATTTCTCTCTTGTACATGTTCGTAACCAAATTTTCGCAGATGGTCTTTCTGACCAAGGACAGCGACCATGGCCAAGTTTGATTCTTTTTTGGCGAGTCATCGGCATGATCTAGGCTTGGTCTTCGGAACAACGAATCAAAGCATAGCAACAATCCACTATCCAGGATATAAGGTCTACGGCACTGTCTCAATTCGATACGGTCCAAGTTGTCCTTTATGAACTGATGCAGAGTCAACCTACTTGACCTCATTATTTTGCAAATTATCAGCGTGATCTAGGCTTGGTTTTTGGGACAACGTACGAAACCATAGCACCTATCCTCGATCCGAGGTATCGAAATATCTATAGCCAGAATCGACCACTACGAGAGTGGATAGCAGCTATTAGCTGGAACCGTATCGAACTATGTCTGTACCCCAGAGCCAGACTAGGTTAAGTCCATTTTTTGTCAAAAATGAGTTCAGTGTGTTGAGCTTAAGATAACATTGTGAATTTTCACTTGCTACTTGCAACGTCTATCTATTTGTAATAATAAAGAAGTTAACTCATGTCAAGACGCATACAATGCAATACAAGAAAAACATTTCAAACTCAATTATATCGAAACAACTTATTTGTACTTAACCTAGTCTGCCTCTGAAGTACAGATGTACCTATGTTTAGACGTACAATATACTTTCAATATACTTTGGGTAAAAACTTTCTTTGAGATCCAGATTCTTTCGCTCAAAATACTTCTTTCTTCATACGAGTATCACAGCTAGCTACAAAGTTCATGCATCCGTACTTCCGATCGATGCGTCCTTTCTAGTATTTCTCGAGTGTGAGGGTCGATCGGATGTGTACTTTCCCGGAAAAAAAAACGATCAAAATGCTCGTCCCAGTGGTCAATAGGGCAGAAAGTGCACGGCGTGCGACATCGTTCCACCTGTGAATAACGATCTGTCAACTAATGATACCCGTCGTTGCTTTGTGCCAGAGACCCATCAGAAATGAGCTAGATTGTTTTCTGAACTACACTTTCTTCTCAAGCGGTTTCTTTTGGCGGAACTAGTGTTGCACTGGTGCATATTTTATGTTCTTTTGATGAAATGACTGTAATCAGAGTGTCCTGGAAGTTGAGAGCCATCTGTGTTTGCAATAACAAAGCAAATTTACGACAAAGCAGCACCGAAAACGTAAAAAAGAGTTTGTTTATATCTTACTGCATTTGTACTATTTGGGGCAGTCTAGGCCTCCAGTTATGTTCAACCAGATGGCTTTTGCATGATATAAACAAACATGATATGCAGTTCTGATGGAAAAAGACATCGAAAGTGAAGGCGACGTTCTGAGTACACTAAAGGGATCTTGAATATGCTCATATCAAACCGATAACTACTTTGTTGCTCTAGGAATGTATCAATTTCGGTTTTTCAAATGGGGTTTGCTTATAGACTAGATTAACCAAGACACATGCGATGTCTGCTTTTTATTCCGCCTCCTATAGTCACATAGTCTTAGGGCCAATTTCACCAACGTTAATATTTAGCGGTCCCATGGACCAATGGTAAAATACCTTATCGAAATGCAATTTGACGGAAGCTGTCAAAGCTCTCTGAATATCAGTAACTTCTATTGCAATGTTGAATAAAGTCGTGAAAAAACGGTTGCCTTATAAACAAGGGTACATTATAGATGTGATATTATTTCTGTGTGCTTTAGAATTAAGTTAACTTTCATAGAATTTCAAATTTTTATCATTTCAGAAAAGACGGTCAGTTATTTAAATGGACCAATGAAGATGAGATAAATAATAGGTCGATTTTCTAGCTATTATATTTGGTAGGATGTTTTCACTGTTTTTGATGACTGTTCATGCATGACAATCTAGTTTTGTCTGTTTATCACGAACAGGGTGTTGTACATAATACGTACCTGTAGAAATGTACCGATTTTTGTTACTGCAAAAAAAAAAGATATAATACGTATTCCAACTGGTTTATCACCTTTTGTTACATCAAAAACATTTTTTGTCAACTTATGATATAGAAATCCACACCAAATGTAAACAAACAGCACATTCTGCATCCTAAAACATCGATATTTGTAAAAGTATCTCATCCACCTATTATTCGTCGTCTAGATATCATAAGTCAGACTCAAAAATACCTATTTATGAAAATATATCTCCAAACATTGCATTATTATAACACGTCTGGGATATCAATTGCTTTTAAAGTGATCTGCACATCTGCAGTGTTGCCGAACCGACAAAAAAAAACGGAATCGGTAAATAGTGTCGTTGAATTTGGTATAAGGTAAACGCCGTCCCAAGATCAGTGGTACAACTTCTACAATGTGCATACTGGTCGCTCTTTCAAAGTACTTTGCAACCATTCTGGAAACTCCTATTTCGATTCTTGCTTTTATGGGATTGTGAATATTTTTCTGTTTTACCCCTGAACTCACCTCTCATTTTAGATAAATATTTATTTTGAAACCAGACAGGTTTCGGTTTCTTTATTGCTGGTCCGGTGATGAGGTAATGACGGTAATCTACCAGTCTCTACCTTTTGTTTGCACAAAAATCAAAAAACAAAACTATGAAAACTACATAAAATTACCTTTGGCTTTATTTTTGGTTTCACCTCTTTTTCGGCAAGTATAGAAATATTCAAATTATTTTGAAGAATCCTGGACAACGATGTTATCGTTATAAACGGTTGATTTATCGAAATTAAGCTTGAATAGATCTTGTAAGCTATCAAAAAATAATATCGTTGGGCCAATTTTATACAGGGTGTAATTTTGTAAGCAATGTTAGCTTAGGGTTAGGATGGCGATTAGAATGACCGGTTCTCTGTGCACTACATCATGTGAGCCTTTGACAGGTTATTGTGCTTGTCAAAAATGGTTGGTTTATACAGCGTTAATTTGGAGTTATTTAAGAAAGGTCGAATTCGTTTAAAGGGCAACATAGTCCTAAAATGGTTGAAGCATATTGTATTTTTAGCTCATATTTTGGAATCAGCCACTTATGAGTTTGTAAGTTACATATAGGAACAGCTCGATATGATTAAATGAATCGCGCACATCTTTTTGACCTACCGAAAGCTTTCGATACGATTAACATTGGACTTCTCGAGGGAAAATTATTTTATTTAGGTTTAAGAGGTTTTATATTAGATTGGGTAGCGTTTTTCTTATCTGATAGGACATTCAGAGCAAAAGTCAATGAAATTACATCCGCAACGAACAGTATCTCATTGGAGCAGCGCAAGGCTCAGTTTTAGCACCCCTTGTATACATTCTATATAAAAGTGATTTGCATCTCTCAGGATCTGTAACAAATTGGAAGTGGAACTACACGCAATGGCATTATTGCAAAAATAAATGAAGAAGTAAAGGATGAAATGAAAGAGTGATGACAAGCAAATCGTTTGGTTTTAAACCTTGACATTTTTATATAAACGCATCTATTCTAGCAAATCATGAGACATCTAAAACTACGACATTCTTGTAAATAGAAGTGGATGCAAAACTCAGTTGGCAAGTGTGTGTAAAAAGTATATTATGCAATTCTTAAGCTCGAAATTTGCTTATCAGAATCAGCTTTGCTCTCGTCCACCCACATTTATCAGTAAACTTCATAGTTTTGGGTGAATCAACTTCAATTTCTAGAGCTTTTTTCAACAGAAGAGAATAATCCGATTGATATTCAACATCCATAGAAGAGAATCCTGCAGAGAGATCTTCAGAAGTAAGAACATCATGACTCGACCAAGCATTCATATTTATAAGTGCGCACTTTTCACACATACAAACAAAACAAAATTTATACAGAACAAAAACATCAACACACACTACAATACAGCGGCAGGTGAGAGTCTGAGTATTCCTAAATACACACTGACGCTGTTTGAGAAGTCATCACAATACATTAGAATATATAACAAATCTTCAGCTAACCTCAGGAATGTCAGTAGCATTGCTAGTTTTAAATGTCAACTACGAAAATTATTAGTTGAAACATGTTTCTACTCTTTGTCTGAATACCTGGCACTCTGATATATTTTTAAAACTTTTTTTATATATGTTTCTGTATGAATTAAGTTGTTCCTGTTTGTGCTTTGTAAATATTTATGTTTGTTTTGTCTTACTTTTAATTATGTGTACTAAGTACCTCCTCTTAAAACGATTCTTATATAATTTTTATGATCTACAAGACAATAAGTGAATCTATCTGTCTGTCTATCGGCGAGTCGACTGTAAGAACTGTCTTTTGAGTGTGTAAGACATAGAAAAAAATTATTTAACCCGTAAGTACTACTAACCAATATTTATTCCATTACTGCTACTATGGGGTCCCACGGACCCATTTCAATTGTTGTTCATAAAAACTCCGTAAGCGAGAAATAAACAATTTATTCTTTTGCTAAAGTTAAAATGTTTAATATATAAGTTATTTACAGAAATAAAGCACATCAAATACAGTTGTTACATATTATTTTGGAACAGTAAAGGCAAACAGGTATTTTGCAAGTTGAACATATATTACTCGTCTTTCTATCCTTGTTTCGTGGACATAAGCGGCATCTCGGTCTTTTTGACCTGCTTGGTATTTCATTAGGTTCAGTAGGTTCTTCCAATGCCAACCTCAATATGTCAGCAGCATTCATTCGGATTTTGCGCGGTACATTTGTATATTTGAACTTTTTGTATTTACGTCTCATGCTATCAATTTTATTATTTGAATGTTGCACAATCATTTCCAAAATATCATTTGTGAAAAGAAGTTCCCATGTCTCTAACGGTGTTTGCGGTGGGCTGTTTTGAATTTGACCTTTTAGGCCAGGTAGCACAGCTACGATGTTATGGGACAAAGTTCTTGTACGTCCTGGTGCTTCCATGGACCACTTGGTTTTATCCTTCCCGTAATAATACATGCTGGATTTTGTTACCTTTGATGATTCAACTTTTTCCTCATCGTCACTTGGGTTCCATTCTAGCTCGCTGTCAGAATCATGTTGACTGAGTATCTCTACATCTTTTTCATCAGAGTCACTTTGGTCGCCTGTATCTACTATTTGTTGAAGTGTATCTAATTCATCGCTTGCGCTGGCATCGATTTCATCATTTTCGCCTATATCGCTGTCATCCCAAAAATTATCACTCTCTATTATCTTCCTCAAGTCATCATCTGATAGTTTCGATTTCCATGATTTAGCCATATTGCTTATATCTGAAAATCATAAGAACACTGTCATAGGTTGAAGGTATGCAAAAATATTACATGGAACTCTGCAATCACATCGTAATAAAGATTTATTGATGTGTATATTTATGTATAATATAATACTATACCCAGTATTCCATAATTAGTCTCTAAATATGATCATAGTAATAATGAAATAGAATACTGCATTACCTATTTTTATCACACTTTGACTACTATGGGGTCCGACGGACCCATGCTACGTCACTGTGGCCCACGTTCAAATCAGGCAGATACAATCACTGTCGCGTTGGAGGGTGCACTGGCTCTGGAATACATAGCCAGAGCGTCGTTACCCCCACTCTTTTATTTTTTGCGGAATCAGCCGCTAGTAATATACGAGGGGTCCCGGAGACCCCGATAGTAGTACTTACGGGTTAAAGCAATCAAGATTTTAATAGAGCTAACTGTACATGTTTAAAATTATTTTACTGATAAAATGAAATGAGTAAAACAATTTAATTATTTTTATTATATTTGCTCAATTAGAGGAGGTAAAAGTATCTGCCTACATGGATATTTGGACGTTAAAGCAACACATTGCATTTTACTAAATGGTGTGTATTATAACGGTGCTCAGTTAAATCTGAAATATCAAAAAATTGGAAAACATGCTATTGATAATTGGTTCTTCCAAAATAAAGGGTTCCAAAGTTTGTAACAATAACAAAATCGATGTTCTTTATTTTTATTGATTATGAACTTATATATGGGATCAAGACTTACCAATTATGTGTCCGATGGTCCAGCAACAGGTTGTAATATACCACCATTCACTTGAAGCAAATCTTTGTTTTAAACTCGGAAAGCAGGGAAAGGGATATATGTATTAAACTGGATAAGGTCATTTTATCATGTGTACAAATTATAATTCTATTTATAATAATAAAACGATCTTGCACTCACATGCATTCAATTACTCACATAAATATATAAAAAAATTCGACATCGGGTCAAGCAAACTGAGATGTTTTCAAATACTACAAAGTTTGCACCAACAGAAGGCCTCACTTCCTATATATACGTTATATAATCTACACACTGAATCCATTAGTCAATGTATTGCATTAATGATACACCACTTATGCAACAGAAAACTATCGTTGAATTAGAAATTTATCAAGAAAATGTCTATATCGTCACTGAAATCACAAATTGAGGAGCACCTGAGGAGTTCAAATAATGTCACCAGCAATGCACCTGCCGCATACCCCCGATCATTTACGAATGCAAGGCCGAGTTTTGCCGAGTAGGCAATTGAAATAAACAGTTTAGCTGTTTTTATTGAAATGTTAAAATGTTTTATAGGTACCAGGTACGTTTTCTACATAAATTAAATTACCTTAACTAATCATCAGTTTCATAAAACTGGTACATGGTTTGCTATCTTCAAGCAACTCATTTTAATAGTATATTATTTTTAATTAGTTGGCAGATAATTCATGTGAATTAAACAGAATAGCTTACTTACTTAGAATAATTAAAAAAATTGTTACGGTTAATAGAAATTTAAAAAAAAATGTTCAATTGACCACGTTTTTCTGGTGCACCAATAACAGCAACATTTAAACATTAAGCTCCATGCGAAAATCAAATAAAACTAAGGAGCTCAAAACGAGTCACCAGCAGTGCGTCTGTCGAATAAATCCGATAATTCACAAATGAAGTGCTGAAGCTTACTGAGTCCGCTATTCAAATAAACAATTAAACTGGTCTTATTATAATGTTTAGTTGCTTTAAGGGTGGATTTCACAATTTAACAAACCATTATTCTGCACCGTCTCCGTCAAATTTTTGGCAGCAAATAGCATCAAAGTATTCAAAACAAAACATTGTAAAATATGAAGTGACAGCTTGCCATTGAAATCTTTTCAGTTTATTAAATATTATGAAATTATGTAAAACTGAGCCAACATTTTTAAAAATGCTTGATGTCTGAGTAAAATCTATTTTTTCAGATTAGCTGAAGGTTTTTCCATGTTTACTGCAACTTTTGTAATCCATATGTGATTATATCACCTACTGTGTGCTTATAGTTTATCCTACATTTGCAAACATGCACTTCCAAACCCTTACATGAAAAAGTCTTTTCACTCAAATTTTTCTTAGGTGTTGCATTTCAACACATTAATACACTTCTTTCAGTTGCAGTTTTTTGTTTTAATTTCAGTGTATAATCAGTCGCACCATCGGTGATGGTACATTCAACATAACAACGTATTTAGGGGTTCATGCAGATTTAACGTGTACACGACAGTGTAATATGTATTTCTTCACAAAAAAATCTTGGAGGGAGCACTTTTATACGGAAATTTTTGTTAAAAAATTCCACTTTTCACACATAACAAAACAAGTGATCACAAAACATAGAATACAGTGACGTTGGAGAAGGAGAATAGACCAAAGAAGATCGGAATTGACATTTGAAATTAGTGTCTCATAATGTTAGTGATGGGAGAATATATTTGCGATCAGTGGAATGTATTGGAACGGTTAAAAAATATGAATTGAATCGTTTTTACGTTATCTCGACTGAAAGACTGGAATATCTGCTCTGTTTCTGTATATATATTTTTTGTGGAATTGTTGCATAACGTAGTTGGTGCACGAACTAGTTCCTAGAACTGAACGCAACTTAATGGAACGAACTGTAAAGCACCTCACTTTTTCAAGTAATCCAAGAAGGGACAAATTGTCATTTCATCACACTAGTGATGGGAGAATCGAAAGCCTGAGATTCGCTTTGTTTCTGTGGCTCAGAGATATAGTGTTTTCTTCTGATAAAACTAGCGCAGTTTTGGTGTATAAAATACTCTACCTTAGTTAATACCTTTGATCCTTAAGTTGCTCCCATAACAATATTAAACAACTCTCATGTCGTGTCGCGTATTCCGAAACGATGTCAAGGGCCGGCAGGGGAAAATCTTTCTCTGAGAACTGAGAATCATTAAACGCGCTGTTTTCAGTCTATTTTATTCTATCCCTTGGGGAAGTACAGAATGAAGAAAAGACTACAGTGCTCAGTGGCCACTCAGTGGCTCAGTGCTCGTCTGTAATGATAATATTCAAATACTACTAAACACCTAGATAGCTTTCTGGCCTTCCAATTTCGAAGCTACCAGTCCTCGCTTAGAGAGTTAAGGATAGAATCGGGGTATACGGTTACGGATGTTTATGATTCCTCTCGATATCGATATATCGTCATGAAACCATCGATGCGTTAAGATCGATGTTCTACGTCCGACTTATCGATGTTCTCGATACATCAATGTATCGTCTATCGTCGCCGTCCCTATATTGTATCCGCACCAGTCACTAGTCAAAAACCTTAACCTCCAATATTTTATTACTATTTATAATTCTTTTTAGCTCTTATTTTTCAGTAATTACTAATAATTTTAGGTCTATGTCTACAGTAATTGCATTATGCACCTCGGAGATGTAGGGATTAACATGTTTTACACATATCGGTGTTTCAGGATGGGGACGACATACTGTTTTGATTGCTCTGAAGAAATTCATTAACCCATGAATTTATAACAAATGATTACTATTATGATGTAAAGAGAGATGAGGAATTGGTTGGAATACATTTTATATTCTATTTTCTTGCAAATCCGCACAATTCAACAGGTATGTGTAGCTATAATGATCACATATACACACAGTATATTGAACTTAACAAATTTCGAGATTGCCATGTATTAACAAACGACCAAACCTGCTGCCAAATTTAACAGCTAAAAAATCGACCTATTATTTCTCCCATTCCCATTCGCTGAGGGGATAACGGATGGTCAAATGTACACCTTTAACATAAATCAAAATACAAGAAAGTTGTCCTGTTTTCTCTGTACAAAAGCATCATGTTGGAATCAAAAAGTGGTCTTGTTTATAATACAGTCGAAATTTCACGATTTTATTCAACATTTTAATAGAAATCACTGATATTCTGAGACCTTCCGTCAAATTGCATTTCGATAAGGTATTTTCCTATTGGTCCATAATAATAATGTTGGTGAAATCGGCCCTATAAATGTACATTTTCTACATGAACTAAACTAATTGAACAGCTTAATAAAATAGGTACTTGTCTTGCTTGGTCAAGCATATTAGTTTAATAGTATATTACTTTCAATCAAACTGGTTCCAGAAAGTTGGAGTAAATAAAAAATGCATTACTGACAACAAACGTATTCCAGAACACCTGTTCAACTAACACGTTGTTTCAGTGTACCCGCTTGTAAGAAAAGGCACCAATGACCTGACCAGAGAATTCAATGTACCTCACTAGAATCTGCCGTATCTCTTACGAATCCGACAGAATAATATTAATGGAACTTCATGTTAGCATGATCGAAGTATATTTATTCTCACATAGTAAGTCGAAGAACTCTTTTTACTGCGCCTACTTACATCACAAAACCCTAAAAAATCAGCTTTATTGCATTTCAGGCGCAGCCAGCAACCGACGAAAATCGTTGAGCGTACCCGATCTCCAGCCGAAAACTAAACATAATTACGGACCAAACTTTTGGTTTATAGCGCACTTCAACTTCCTTGTTTACAGTAGAACTTTGAAAGTATTACGACAACTTTGCGAGGAATTTATTATTAATATATTCTACCTAGTTGTTGCTATTTTAGTACAGTATGGCCGGCCGCAAAAAGGGAATGCAGTATTTTTCTACTTCGTAACTTTTTTTTGTGACATCTGTACTGTTGGTAATAACAAATCTGGTAAAGGGCCAAATTAAGGACTGGTGTTTGGTATCACCAATGAAGATTTGTTTACACACAGAATTTTGGCAATGAAATGTATACTGCTAGATTGGGAATTTATACATATGTACAGAGCAGTATCATCTGAAGGGGCGTGGTGAGATGACTATGTTTCTGTTTAGCGTTTGCTGACCAAACATGACAGTGATATTAGGCTAATAATTTTTTTTTGTT